TAAACACAACTTATCAACAAAAACAAAATTTTAAAGAAAAATTACCTTTTATCAAGAATTGTGGAAAACATAATCAATTGCAAATTTGGATAAAATTAAATTTTTTGAAATGAAATTATATGATTTTCTTATGAACTAGAAGTATATAATTATTTTTTAGTGTTAATGACTTTTCTACTTCATATTCTCAATTTTCCCCAAAATTCTTGGTTAATACCTAATAGATAATAAAATCAAATGAATTCATTATGTATTAGCTAGCATTAATGTAGCTTCTCATAGAAGCCACTTATTCTTCTTGAAGTTCATGACAAATTAGAAAAAATGCTTCATTTTTCATTGATGGTATAATAAACAATTTGGTACCAAATTCAGCCATTTTTGTGAATTCCCCTAAACTAAATATGTAATTGTTGTAGAGTTTTAAATTAAGTTTGAATAATTGAACATTGGGCTTGGGTTGTGAATAAAGTTAGTTGGGCTAATTAATTTTTATGCTAGGCTAAATTTTGGGAACAATACATAACTCATAGTTTTAAAAATCACATTTCATAAATAACAAACTCATTAAAATATTTCAAAAATCAGGTGTTAAATAAATTTATTAAATATTAAAATACAATATAATATACATTAATTATTTCTACCAATGCCACCCCACCTTTCCTATCTTATCATCACACTACACCACCTTCCTCTATCTCTCCACTGGAGACAGTCATCGGCTCTTACGGTCGCTTCGGCGACTGTTCCGGCTATCATTTTGGCTACCACTTCGACGATTGTTCCAGCGATCACTCTGACTGCCACTACGAGGACTTAAAAATTTTCAGAAAATTAAAAATTGAAATTATAGGGTGCACTTGGGGTGGGGGTTGGAGTATTATTATTTAATATTAAAAAATTGATTTATTACCTGATTTGTGAATACATAAAGTTTAGATTTGATTTGTGAATTTGTTAACTTAAATGTCTGATTTTATGTAATTTAACCCTAAATTTTTATTCCTTTTTATTTTCACCATGAATTTGGGTTAAGTTTTCTATTTTTTTATGGGAAGAATACATAAATCATGCCTTTACTTTTACCTATTTCAAAAAAATCAAAACACTTTTCAAATTTTCAAAAATCAGGTTTATTCAAATTTTTAATTATGAATTAATAATTATTAAATTAA